TTTAAACCGCGAAGATTCGAGGGACACTGCCACTGTGCCTGTCACTCTGAGACATAAGTTGACTAGTCTCATATTCCTGTGATTTCACCAGCACCCTTACCCTTCAAAACCGGAACGTAATAGTGCCCACATTAGTGCTTGGCAGAAATGAGTAATGAGTTTCAACTGCCTCAGTGGCCGAACGGTTACCATGCCGGACTGCCACGCAGTGGTCCCAGGTTCGATTCCCGGGCCGGGCGAAATATTTGTATGACCTACACTTATTTCTCTCGTGAGTTTGGGTGTAATTTGTGGTTGTCTATGTGTGTCCATGGCACCCGCGACACAGGGTTTCCCTAGTGCGGGGCTATGTTGAGTGTGTGCGTTATTATTATAAAAAAAAGTAAGGATGCTATACAATATAAAAGGAAATACAAATGAATAACAAAACAATAGTTCTCAGGCAAAGTCAAGCTATTTTAATAATAACGTCGATCTAGATATCATCGTTATCGACCTGGAATTCATTACCTTTTCATCACGTCTGACGCCGAATTTTTCAATCGGTGAGAGGTAAAATGACATTTTCTTTTCATACGTTTTATTAACACTCGTCGCGTTTAACGACGCGTGCAGCGATTCCGCAATTCATAGAGCATCATAAAACCCGTCTCTGCCAAACGTTGCATTTTTAGTACAGCATTATTTGACTTCCATTTTATTGCTCGACGAAGAATAAAATGGCACTCAATAAAATATTTTGCAACAGTATTTTTCCAAACGAAATGAATGGCCTTCAATTGTATGCCCAGCTATCTCACCGTTTACACACCGCACACAAAAAAAGCCCCGATATTTGTGGCAGCAAACGTGACTGCGAGTTTGAAAAATTCAAATTCATAAAAACGTAATGGGATGGTGGTGGCGCGTCGACAGTGGAATTTTTAGTCAATTTCTCGTTGGACACAATTGAATTTGATCGTGGGATAAATCAAGTTTCTGGGCACGAAGCGAAGGCGAATTCCGTGTTCAGTCGGGGCGACGCCTCCGGCCACGAGCGGGTGCTTCTAATGTATGATACATTCATAAGCGGTAATAACTGTGGTAATTCATTTTCATTCTATTTGCATAACCGCCTCCGTGGCTGAACGGTTATCATGCCTGTCACGCAGAGGTCTCTGATTCGATTCCTGGGCCAGAATAGATATTTGTATAGCCTACATTTATTTCTCTCGTGAGTTTGGGTATAATTTGTGGTTGTCTATATATGTGTCCATGGCACCCGCGAGACAAGGTCCCCCTAGTGCTAGTAGGGGGACCCTGGGCTATGTTGAGTGTGTGCGTTATTATTATTATCCTATATGCATTTAATGTAACAATTATTTTAGTTAAATTGAACTCGACACATTCCCTGACTTCTTCTTCTTATTCGATTCTGTCTGCCAGATAATTAACACTCTCAGGCATACACAAGAAACATCATCAACCTATTCATACATCCCACTGCTATGCACGGGTCTTTCCTCACGCGGGGGTCCACCACGGTGGCCCGATGCGGACTTCACACGTGCAGGTTCCACTATGGTTCCTTCACTGAAAAACTTATGGTTTTTTTTATGATACTAAGTGAGAGATTATACGTATCTAGAAAACTCGGACCCACTTCGGATGTCGCTTGTGCACTAAGTCCTTTTCGAATCCGAGAAACTACGAATTTCGCTTTTACACCTAGAGATAAAATGATCTCTGTGACATTTCGGACCGAAATTTCTCGAATTCGGAACTGATACGTATCGGACTTAGTTTGCAAACGCTCTTATTGTAAAGGTGAGAACTTACCGTATACTCATAATATTATTAGATACGGCCCTGGCGTCTTGGCTAATCGTAACTTGATAGCCTTTTCGTACTTCTTTTTTATTATAGATAAAATCATACATTTCTTGCATATACGGCCTTTAGATAACCACCGCCAAACTCCTATATTTGCACCAAACGTCAAAACCTTTGTGTGGCACGAGGCCGTCCGTCCTCAGATCACTCGTTTGAGGCTATTTAACGAATCTCGATATCGTTCCGTTTGTGAAAGAAGACCAATCATGCCATCTATTTGCCTTAACATTTATTTTCTAGTAGTGATCACTCGATTGTGTTTATATATGTCATAAATAATAACCCTTCACATTCAATAAAATAATCACATCAGAGATGAGGCGCCCATATTTTTGTAGCAGTAGAGCTTCTTGTGAAAGAGTTCGTCTACGGAAGTACGGCCATCTTACCTATTTCTGTCGCCAAGAAGTAATGTCAGCATCACTGCGGCGGTTCTGGTGAAATTACATGCACATGGGACTTATCAACTTATGTCGCAGGGTGACGGACGCAATGCTCCTCAGATCTTTGCGGTTTAAAGGCATTGCAACTGCCATGGATAGGCGTGTCGCTTACCGCCAGGCGCACGACTCGTTCGTTCCGTCACTTGGTATTATTAAAAAAAATTACTCAATTCCCACCGATTTGCGTAAAGTTTTCCACGTATTATCAAAAGACTGTAGTGCGTATGACTCACCATTTATGGTGTAACGAACCGGTGTGCACAACTCGATTTATTAATTGATAAATATATAATATAATTTGATTAATCCACTTCAAAAAAGAAGGAAGATGTCAATTCGACCTTTTTGAGTCTATGTTACGTTTCGCGCTCTTTACGTTACCCGATTCCAATAAAACTTGGTAAATATTAGAGATGTAATTCCAAAAGCCGATACGCAAACTTTTGACGACGGTTTTTTTAATAAAAATATAATCGAGTTCTTAGGTTTTCGCGATTGTTACACATAGGAAATGAAACTATTTTTCCGGATTTAAATCGCGTATATCGGTTTGTTTGAAAAAACAAATATACGCGATTTAAATACGGAAAAAAGGTTTCATTTCCTAAAAATATTATCACTAAATATTTATAATAAAATAAAATTAAAATACTCACCCGTCCTTGATAAGGCATCATCATCATCATCAAGCGGGAATTCGGATTATATTTTTATTCAGAAAACTACGGGCTCAATACAAAATATTGGTAAAAATGGCCGCCGATAACACGATGAACTTCGAATTCTGGGCGAATAGATTTCACTTAAATCGTAACTTTATTTGTTTATTTAACCTTATTACTGCGGTACCAGTATCCTTAGGAACAGTATCCTTAAAAATAAACCGTACGACTCTAACACAACACAATAAAGTTCAGATGAATAATCCCTTGCACTTCAGCTTTGCAGGGAATCTATCGAGGCATATAACCCAGCGCGGCACCATATAGACATAGCATTAGAAATCCATAAGTTACGAGCTAATATTGAACTAATATTGACAGCAGCGCTGGGTAGCATCGCGATCGGGTTGCGCACATGTTTACACGATACGACACGACATACAAACGATTCGACAAAAAATAAAAAATAAAATTTGCGTTCTCATAATATACCTGTAAGACATTCTGTAAACTTCTATTTTAAGAAACAGGAACAGCCTTCTGAAAGCTTGCCGCAAATAGCGCACATATTATGTATTTATAGGCATATACACAAACCAGCTCCAACTGAGCATAAATCTCTAGAATCCATCGCTGAAGACTTTAGACCATGCTTTGTTAACGTCGTCTTTGTCTTTAAACATTGCCTTCTTTTTTTTTTCTTCCCAATGCCGGTTGGGAATAACAAACAATAATCATAGTAAGTAAGTGAAATTACTTCACTAGTTTGTTACAATTATTAATGCAAATATCGAACTGTGTGGAGTCACACACAAAATATCCTTTGATCCGGCTGGATTCAAACCAGGGTCTCTTAGCAAACCATACCACATGCTATACCAACTAATCCACAAAACTAGATGTCCCACAGATGGCGTTAGGGCAAAAACTTAACAGCTACTGCAACAAACACATAGAAAAATTCGTCAGATCCGCTGGTTCGAATCCAGCCTACTATTAGTTTGTCAAATTTTAACAAACTAATAGTATTAGTCATAAGACTGAACTTATTTTTTCTTCTGTATGTGAATATAGCACAAAGACAGAAATGAGAGAAATGTTAATAGTTACTTATTAAGTTTAGCAATTTAAACGGACTTGTATAACACAGATTGGGAACCTGGAAATCTGTACAAATACGCTTCTACAGCTTTACTTTTTTCACACAAAATCTAAATCCTATACATAGCCCTTGAAACTGTTCCAACTGATCGATGGAAGAATATTTTAGTTAGAAATCAATAAAAACTGTATTAAAATTTTAATATCAACATACAGGTGTAGCTTATCCCGTGACAGAGTTGACAGAGTTTTTCCGTCCATTGTACAGTCGACTAAACCGCTGAAGGATTACCATTGGATCAGTTTAATTTGGAACTTTAAGCCATATAGTAACGAAAATAACGCAAAACATTCTATACCCCAACATAGAGACGAGATAAAAACCAACGTCGTGATATTTAAAACCTTTTCTAACTTTCGATTAATAGGATGTATGAACAAAGTTAAATAAGCACAAAATCGATAATTTCGTTTATTAACAATATGAAAAAGTAACTAAATACGAGAAGTAGTGATTTATCGGCGCTCGCATGTCACCCGTTTATCATCAATTTGATGAACGACACGAACACGTCCCACAGTGATAAAATCACTGTTTGTGTACCATACTTGATGTATGATGAGGCAGATCGTCGATAGCTGCTTTCAGTACTTTATTTTAACTTCATTTATATGTTGACATGGAAGAGCTGTGACAAGTTCGGATTCTGAAAAAGGATAACATACCCAAGCGAAACAATGAAAATCTATATAAAAACACTCCAAAAGATACTGTTGCATCAGCATTGCTATTTCAATGTAAATTATAAAAATCATCAAGTGATAAAGACGAATAGTCCGTCTGAGAAAATGTTTGCGGATATGTTTAAATTAACGACAACAAGTTAATTCAATTTTGCCTAAAGCCATTTTTACATTCCAGATGCCCAGTGATGAGAAGCTACTGTTCATTTGCAAGAGACAGACAGATTGAGGCGAGACGTAAAATGCGAGACTGAGCGCGATGATCTGGCGACGGGGGCCCTGCAAGAGCTTCGCGATCAGCGTCGTACAGATCATCACTATCATTTGCCAAGGTAATTAATGTAATTGTAAAATGTACACCATGCAACAGTGGAAATCAACAAATACCGTGTTTCACATTTATTCAATAACAAGCAAACAAGACTAGAAGAAGTGGAAACTTCGCCTCAATGTTGATAGCGCTAAATGAACTGTGTGAGAACAAAGCTATCTGATTACATTTACCACTAAATCTGTTAAATCCTGGGAACTTTAAACTTCCCTTTAAGCTCTCATGGGAATAATACAAAATTTAGCCAAGTTCCACCGGAACCGGCCCCGCAGCCAAAGTTTACCAACTTAGGTTTAAGTAACTTATCTTAATTTGAACCACGCGGATACAGCCTCTGAATGTAGATCCCTTTGCAAATGAATAATATCAGGACTGCGGAATGTTTAAATGCGGAACCTGGCGGGCAACAAGGCGGAGCACATAAAATTTCCATTAACACTGAATGGCTTATCCCGAACGCAATAACCGTAACAAAGCAGCATCAAACCGATATCTTTTTCAAACTTTTAAGGTGATGAACATCACAAATGGAACTGTTAATAGGCTCACTAAGTTTACACAATTACATGAGAAGTTTTCAAATAAAACGCGGCTTAAAGTGCGCGGGCAATGAAGACAACATTTTGGAGAATTGGGAAGTTAGCCAATTAAATCTAGAGTTCATATCCAGCATGGGTCTAGTCTCTCCGGTAGAAAATTAGTTGCGGTGTCAATCAATGCGACTTGAGACACAGTTCCAAAGTGGAAAAGTCAGTCGGCGCGAGACAATGGCGCAGGTTAATTAGTTTACTCTATCTCCGTAGACGGAAGCAAACTCTTTTGTTGCTTTGTTCCCACTTAAGAAAGACACGGGTTGATACTTCGACCCTCGCAATTTTGACGAAAAATATACAATAAAAGTCAGAATAATAAACGAAGTTGTATTTAATATATTAGCATTATATGCACAAAAGATTTTTATTGAAAAGAAATAGATGACTCAAAGTGAATAAACACGTAGGAATCAGAAAAATATGAAAATCTTAAGTAAACAGCTAATTCATGTAAGAATAACGAGGGTATTTTCACTCGTGGAAATTCTAAAGTAATCAGTATTCGTCGGAACGCTCTACGCGGAGATAATATCTCGCAGAGCTTCACAAACATCTCGTTTGAAAGGAAATTTATTATCTTTCGCTTGACTAGGAACGTTTTTTCGCTATTATTAGCTTTAAGCGGTAAACTTCGATAAACGTGAAGAGCCGCTTTGTTGCCGTCGAGAATGTTTTGCATCTTAACATTTTCCTTTTGTTCATAGAAGCCGTTGTGAACATCTTAAAGAGAGTTATTGGATTGAAACTTAAATTTTTGTAATAACATTATCTAATTTCAAAATCAGCAAAATAGTAACAAAACGAAGAAGAATTAATGTTCTTGAGTACTATTTAAAATGGTGTTTTTTTTACGAAACGAAGGTATGAGATTTTATGTGAGGTTGTATAATGTTATGAACAAGAATGACATAACTAATAGGGAACTGTGTTAACTTATTACTTAATACACTTTTCAATGTACTTACCTCTTTATTGTAGTCATAACAAACAGAAATACAACAACGGCCTTCGCTAACGCAAACTAATTAAGCCTTACTCAAAGGGAACATCATTTTAATCACTTAGCAAGCCCTAGTGGCCATGGTCCACAAATAACGGTTTACAAGTAAATGGTTAATAAAAATTTAGTTTACTACAAGTTCGAAGCAAAACTAAGTCGTGAAGGTTTAACAAAACCATAATAGAACAGTTAAACTCAGAGCAAGCCGCGCAACACACTGCAAAGTAAATAGAAATGTTCATCCGGGTAGTAAAGGTTAAAGGTACTTTAAGTACTGCTACCGGTTAAAGTGCGTTCATGTGTACTACGAGCGAAACCGAATTGAAAATTATACCGGTTTCCGAGACCGGCTATACTCGGGGACTTGAGAGAAATTATTGATGAATATTCACCAAACTACGGGTACCAGAGGCCGTTACCCGGACATAGTAGGATTATTGGGGACATAAACTAAAAGGAACGGTTTACAAAACTTTTTCTGCCTATTCAAAATTTATCCACATATTTATGAATATTAAAGGTTTTTTGGGGTTACGACATTTCAATCTTGACGGAGCCGCTCATAGTTACGTCACTGTCGTCCACACCTTCGCACTTGATTAAAATATCAATCTTCGTCATTCGTTCCTTTGAACGAAACGTATTTTTGTTTAGGATTTTTTCCTTGTATTCTTTTTTGGATTTTCGTTAAAAATTTTTGTAGCGAAATAATCATTTCGTATCGAAATGCTGTCTAGTGAGTGACTGTATATAACAATACCGTAATATTTCCTTTTTAGAACGGCTCAATTTAAGATTGATATTTTGTTAAACAAGGATTTTTTTCCTCGTAAGTTTGTATATTTTTTAGTAATGTGGATCTTAAGGTATTATAATACCTTGTTTTTCTAACTTCACTGTATGTACTTGGTACAAAATTATGTTTATTACCAATTAACAGAGTATTGTAGAGAAAGAGTGCAAAATCATCTTAAACCTAGCTCAAAGCTCGCCAGTTGTTCAAAGGTACTGAAGATTTTATGGTATTCAAAACGGCTTTATAGAAACATTTTGTTTTCAGTGCTAACGGAGGAGCCACGGTTCGCCGAACCGATTCCCAACGTGACGGTGGCGCTAGGCCGCGATGCCAGCCTGCCCTGCGTCGTTGAACACCTTGGCACCTACAAGGTACGCGTGGAACTCATATTCTCCCTGTATATGCTTACCAGAGCCACGTACTACCACCTTGGTTACGTCATAATTTAATATGTTTTTGTCTATGTTATTTTTTTGCTAATTATTGTACACCACTGCACGCGATGCCATCGTTTTTGTTAGGCGCAATGCACCAATTCATGGAGCTAATACTTGCGCATAATTTTTGTTTAAACGACTGGGAGACTATAACGTCAGGCTTCCAAAGGTTGTGGGACATCTCGTCAGCCTACAGTGAACATTTTCAACCTCATTTTTTCCCAATCCCGGATTAAAGGATGCCCTGGAGAATAAAGGGTGAAAAAGCCTTATCAAGTTTTTCCAATACAAATAAAACAAAAAAAGCCATATAATCTTCAAATTACAAAGCTAAAGGACAATATTAACGTTAACAGTTACTTTAGGCTTAACGAAACCTTATAAAGGTTCTGTACCAGAACAGGACATTTACGAACAGAAGAGTTTAGATGGCTGCAACGACATTACAAATTATGTTCTAGTACCACAGATTTATGTGAAAAGTTAGTTCGTGCAGACATAAATGCTAAAGTCGACAGTCCACGGGCTTGCCATAACCTCTTAAAATAATATTGTTTATTAATCTTACATTGACTTTTCGTACCATGATGCGCTTACAGTAAGTTTTTATTTTTATTTTTTATTTTTTATTTATTTATTTATTAGCAATACTAACATTATGTTCACAAAACATTTTGAGCTTATATGACTAGGGTGTTCTACATTGTAAACACAACAATTACAAGTATCGACAGCAATCTCAAAACAACAGACAAACTAAATTAAAATTTTCGACAAATTAATATACATAAGTAATTTAAGTTAGTAATAGAACACACTGAGAAATACTTGAGGAACTTTTTATTATTAATAATTATTATTTTTAAGTAATAGTAATAGTAATAGTGTAAGTTTATTATAATGTTAAAACTACGAATGATTTGTGAGTATTCATTCACTGAATGCATACAACGTCGCGTAATACGACTTTGACTTTATAATAATATTGTTCTTATGTCAAAAGCTATATTAAAATATATAGCCTACGCGATGGAAACAATATTATATTCTAGTCTATTTTTAACCGACTTCAAAAATAGGAGGAGGTTCTTAATTCGACCGTATGTTTTATTTGTATGTATGTTACGCGATAGCTCCGGCATTTGTGAACCGATTTTGATGATTCTTTTTTTGTTGGAAAAAGGGTACCTCAGTAGTGGTTTCATTTAAATTTGAAGAAAATATTTCTCCTGTAAGGGTAGCAAACTAGGGGATGAATGGGGTTTCGCGCACTTTCCGGCAACCGATTTCATTAAAACTTGGCAAATCAATGTAATTCCATGAACTTTTGAGGTCGGTTTTTTAATATCTGTACTGAGATTATCTGAATATAAATTGGTGACATTCAAAAGTCAAGCGTAACTTATTGTGAGGTTTTCATAGTAGATATAGAAATGAGACTCCAGTTATTGATACAAATTAAATTATAAGATTTTTTCATTATAAATCCAAACAAAATAAACCACGCCCTTTCTCGTCAAATATGTTTTTCGTTTTATGTTGATGATGATCTTCGTATTCGTTCATCCTATTCGCAAAATAGTCTGTATTATATTTAGCAACTTTATGTCCACAATGTGTATAAATCTTTTTTACGGGCGTTTGATCGTAAATCGATTCCAATTACGATGATCACAGATGGACCTGTCCAACAACAAGGCGCGGGAAGAAAGTGTTAGAGCTATATTCCACTGTGTTGAGTTGGCCCAATGCATTTTGTAGTTTTAAAAGTTGAATAATGCAAGAAATAAAGTCGAAACCCATTTGATAACTTCAAGAAACCTTTTTAGTACCACGAATGTTAAAATTCTCATCTAAACGATTCCAAGTAATCCCCAAGAGCTTCCCACAAATGCAAAAAGACTTTAAAATGCAAATGGGCCAAAGAAATCAGTTGTAATAAAATCAATCCTAGTCTTTAACTTCTTACAGCATTACTTGTATCTCAAGTTGGAATTCTCATTGAATATTGTTACTTTCTTAATATCTACCTACTCCAACTAATGAACTCATATGTTATTAGGGGGGGCTTCCGCAAATTCCCGAATATTTCAGTGTAATACTACTTCGGGCTTCCGAGATGTGACTCATTATAATCTCTCTACTGAGCGTGTTACGAATAAATAGATTACTTCTGGGCCTTTTAGCGTAAAAACTGTCTTTGTTTATGACTTACTTGGAATTTGTACGCGACTTCGTTTCATTTTCCGAGTGACTGTTATATCTAGGGCTGTAACTAATTGTTATGTTAGTGTGATTACAGCTACATTTGTTTCAGTCAAACGGCAAACAGTCAACATTTCACCTGATGGAAGGTGGTAACCATCGTCTACTGATACTTGCGATACTAAACTAATATCTCTACAATCATAAGTACATTACGGGCTTTTGAGTATTATGTATTTGTCATGAATACAGTAGTGCTGCCTTAATATAGAACTACACTGCACAATATACAGTAGTTGCTGTTGATGCACAGCCACGCGTCACGTGGAATAGCTGAAAATATGTGTTTTGCTTTCCTGATTTACTCTGCGTTATGACCTTATTAGCTTGCTGTAGCACACACAACTTGTTAGTTTGTTTATTGGTTACGTTATTATATTTTATGGTTTTATGATTTTTACGTTATTTGTTTGGTTTTCAATGTTAATTTTATAGGAAATGAAACTATTTTTCCGGATTTAAATCGCGTATATTTGTTTTTTCAAACAAACCGACGTTTCGGGCCCTTTACAGGTCCCATGGTCACGGTTGACTTAGGTGGTACAGTCTTCAACCAGTTATGTCTAATATAAATGCAAACCACCCTATTTTTTCACTATAGTTACAATAGTTATTAATTAAATACCTTATTTTTAATTTTACAAAGAAAACATTCCAATTTACGCTACATTAAGTTTTACAAATTATTTTATTGAATGAATTTTTATTAAGTTTAATTTATTATTAATTATTAGGTTTGTTTGAAAAAACAAATATACGCGATTTAAATCCGGAAAAATAGTTTCATTTCCTATGTGTAACAATCGCGAAAACCTAAGAACTCGAAATGTTAATTTTAGTTTCTGTTTTGTATTAGTGCTCTTGTCAACTTGTGCTCGTAAGTCAATATAAACTATCTATTTGTCTACCACTGACTAAAGCAGGTTCTGAACAAACGAAAATCCTACCACCAGACTAAATGTAATTGTCACCATTGTTATTAGTCAATTTGAGTTCTCACTGTATAATAGTAATAATAAAAGATGTAAATTTAAATCGTCAGAAAGTTCATGCAGATGGAAGAGGACGAAGGTGGATCTAAGTCAAAGTCAAAGTCAAAGTGAAAGATTATTTATTCCATAGATAAAATAAATTTACACTTGAAAACGTCACATTTAAGCCACTGCTCGATCACTACGCTGACCTCCATGAGAAGATCGAGCAAGAAATTCTAGGGATTGCTCTTTTTAAATAAACGTAAATGTTATGGAATACACTTTGAATTAAATTTGTCGTGTCGTCTTTCCATACATCTTTATCTAACACGTAGTCTTCAATTTTGTAACATGATTGTTCGATCAAAATAGTTTTAATGTAGTTTTTAAACTTAGGAAATGATAAACTTAATATATGCTCCGGAATTTTATTGTAAAAACGTATACAGTTCCCCATAAAAGAGTTGTTTACCTTGGTTAAACGAAATCGTGGTACCATGAATTTGGATTTAGCTCTAAGGTTAATATTATGGATATCTTCTTTCTTATTCAAATTATCATTGACTTACAATTATATGGACGTCGGGTCCGCGCTAAAAAGTGTCCGAACTTATAGGGCGTTAAAATCGTATACAGAGCGTCATTCACGCTTTAGTCTTGTTTGTTCTAGTTTGTTCGACTGACAGCGAAGCAAGCAAAATTAGACAATACTGTGATGACATTACAATTGAAATTCAACGTTTTAGCTTTTTCATATTCCTTTACATGTCACTACGTTTAAATAGGATGACTTGGGACATTTTTTTCGTAGTTTGTGTATTAGACCCGTCGTCCATTTATTTGTAAGTCAATGGAAATTATGTATATTTTTACGGGCATATAAAATATTTGAGTAAATGTACTGTGATGACAACAGTCATGATACCAGTCTCCTTAAAGTTTTCTCTGAGAGAAACCCGAGAGCCTAGACGGTACACGGAACGAATCGCTCGTTTTTGCAATACAAATATGGTTTGAATATCTGCCGCTTTACCCCACATGAGAATCCCGTAGGACATTATACTATGGGAGTAACTAAAGTAAACTAGTCCAGCAGTACTAACATCGGTAAGCTCACGTATTCTGCGGACTGCGTATGCAGCGGAGCTTAATCTGCTGGCCAAGGAAGATATGTGTGGAAACCATTGAAGTTTACTATCTAAGGTCACTCCCAAGAATACTGCTTTACTAACAAAGTCTAACTTTTCTCCGTTTATTTCTATGCTTGGACTAGTCGATTTTACTTTAGGTAATTCAAATTTAACACATTTTGTCTTCTTGGTATCTTATTACACACCCACCGCATACTCATAGATACACGCCATACTGCATTTACTTGATTTAAGTCCGTAAATGTGGTTCACATCAGATAAGTAACTAAGGAGACTACAGTAAATAATCATAATAATAATAAAATTCAAAATTAATCTTTAAGGCCTTGGGAGAGGCGAGAGTCTAAAATAGATACAATAATAATAATAATATTTTCTATTTCTCCACAAACACAATAGTTACATTAGAATCAAAACATAACATACACAGTCAGAGATATTAACATTATGTTTGTAAGAGGCTGGTACCTGAACTAAAGGAAACCAGGTCCCTCGCTTCGGATATCGATTCTTCAATAAAACATTACAGAAGTTAACGAACAAA